GCTCCCCGTGGAGGTTGCCGCCTGCCCTGCTCTCTGGGCACTTAGAGCTGGCCAGAGCAAACCCCTCCCAGGCCCGCTGCCTCCCCCTGTCCCGGAGCCCCCAAAGCTGGGAGCAGCTGTTGGGAACTTTCACCCTTCTTCAATGGGCCCTTCCACAGCCGGGGCTGGGGGCTGGGCGGTTGGGGCTGGCTGGCCGGCCAGGAGGAGGAGCTAGGAGGAGGTGTGGCAGGGGCTGGAGGCCTGGGGGGTGCCAGGGGGTCATTAACCCTGGGCATTTCCTTGGCACTGTAGCCAGGTGTTAACTGCCTCTGCTAAGGGCAGCGACCTCCCGGGTCTTACTCCGACACGCCTGCAATCGCCCAGCACAATAGCAGCCTTTGTCCCAGTAGCATTGCTCTGCTGCCACTCCTGTGAGCTGCAGCACCCGCTGCAGCCTTGTCCGGGGGCTGCTGCCCAGCCCGCTGGTCCCCCTCGGTGCTTTGGCAGCCGATCCCCCCCCCCGGGCAGCATGGCACCGCCTCGCACTGAATTCCACAATTCCACTGTGGCGCGATCACGGAGTTCTAGCCTCGTCCTCCAAAGTGCTTGCAACCCCTCCCCGGGCCGCGAGATCTGCGGGTTATAGGCCCCCCGCGCCATGATCCAAACCACTGACAAGCACACGGACGGGACACGTTCTACTGGACCCCCGGATACGGCCCCCAAGCGTCACAGGGCCCATTGGTGGGTCCTTTGAGTCCAGACTCTCAACCAGTTTTACACTCAGTCTGTTTCCCCGCCCTGTTTATGGCAATGTCATGTGGGCTGTGTCCAAAGCCTCGCTTAACTCAAGATCTATCATGTTTGCTGCTTCCCCGAGCCCTGGCCATGTACCAGGGCTGTGCTCGTTAGCCTCCTGGCCAAGAAGGAAGTGGAGTTGCTTTGGCACAGTTTGCTCTTGATAAATCTGGGCTGATTATTCATTGTTGCACTATCCTCTAGAGATTTACAAACCTTGAGTAACCCATTTGTTCCAGGAACTGAAGAGAGGCTGCCTGGTCTATAACTCCCCAGGTGTTCTTTGTTGCTTTTTGGAGATAAGCGCTGTGTTTGCCCTTCTCCCTTCATCTGGGATCTCACCTGGCCTACAATTCTCAGAAATAGCTCCAGGTTTCTCCACGGTTCCTTCAATAGCCTGGGATGAATTTCCTCAGGCTCTGCCAATTTCAATACATCTAAGCCCTCTTTGACCTGGTCTTTCCCTCTGTGGGCTCGCGCTCCTCCCCCTTTGGTTAGTATCACTTGCACTGAGTATCTGGGCACGATTTACCTTTGCAGTAAAGACCGAAACAGAACGGGCATCTGGAGGTCATCCATGAATAGCTCTCCTTGCCTGCCGCTCCTTCCTCTTCCTCAGAGCCTTTGTCTACACTGCAGGGTTTTTGCACCAGAAGCCTTTTGTGGAAGAGTTCTTGCACAAAAACTTCTTGCGCAAAAGCGCATCGCAAAACCCACGTGCATTTGCACAAGAGAGCGTGCACACTGCATGGACGCTCTTGCACAAGAAAGCTCTGATGGCCATTCACCAAATGGCACCTGTGCTTTTGCCGATGGGGGTTTCTTGCGCAAAACCCCCTCCTGAGCGTCCACACCTGCCTTTTTGTGCAAGAGCTGTAGTGCAAAAAGGAGCTATTCCTCGTGGGGATGGAACAACTCTACTGGCACAAGCCCTCTGTTCTGCGGATTTACTGTCAAAAGAACGCGCTTGAGGTGTGGACACTGCTGGGGTTTGCACAAAACCCTTGAGGTGTAGACATAGCCAGAGTGTATTTTAAACTCGCTTTTTATTGCCTTTGATGTGCCTGGCCTGACTCATCTGGTGCCTTAACCTCTCTCACTTTGTCCCTACGTGCTTGTGCCTCTCTGCGTTTCTTAGCAATTTGGCCGCGTTCCCACTTTCTGTGGGTTTCCCTTTTGATTTTCTGGTCATTCCGGAGCTCCTGATGCAGCGACTGGCCTCCCCCTCGTCGTCTTTCTTTTGTGGCAGGATACTTTGCTGATGCCCCTGTGAGACGGTCTCAGCTGGGATTCCTTTTCATTTTGATTTTCTTCCCAGGGACGTTGCCTACCAGATCTCTGGGTGTATCACAGTGCGCTGTTTGGTAGCCCCGTGGCCTTAATTCTGCTGCTCGTGCCTTCCTTTCCGTAGACCTGGGAAACCTGCCATCCCACGATCACTTTCACTCAGATTCGCTCCCAGTTTGGTCAGGTTCAGGTATGAACTGGCCGTCCCCTGGTTACATCCTGCCCCTTCGGAACCGGGACGTCATCCCTGGTACGTTCCAAGGACTTACTGGGCAGTTTGTGTTTTGCTGGATACATTGCCAGCCGCTGTCTGGGCAGGGCACCCCCCTTCCCCCCCCCCCCCCCAACCACCCGGGCTGTTGTTTGGTCCTAGAAATCCCTCATCTTCCTCCTCTTACTAACTGGGTCAGCTACAGAAGATCTCTGCTGCCACTGTCCCGCTTCTGCCCCCTTTTATCTTCCCCCCAAACTTTTCAACTTCTCAGCCTCTCACCTCCGGGGGAGTGTGCACATCCCTGGCCTGTACCACAGCCCCTCCTCTGCCCTGAGCAAACTGTCCACCCTCTGCACCCGTGTTCCACTCCCCTGTCTCAGCGATGCCAGTGACGTCAACCCCCCCCCCCCCCCGGGCGATACCCTTGGGGGACTTCAGCAGAGGAAGCCACCCCTGGCGCCAGTCCTGCCGCAGGCTTGGTACAAGGTGAGCCCAATCTCCATCTGCTTGCAGCTCCTGCTAGTGCTTTGGGAGGCTCCCGCTGCCTGGGCAGAGGAGGGAATTCACCCCCCTTCCACCGCTGCCCAGTGCTGGGAGAGCCGTGTGGGGGGCAGCGTATGGAGCTGTCTCCCCAGGGGTCTAGTCAATAAACCTAATGAAACTCCAGTAGGGAGCAGAACACCCCCCCCCTCCAGCCAGGAAGCAGTTGGCTTGGGCAGCACACACAGGGCGTTACAGGGCTCCTCTCAGTCTTCTTAGAACAGGGGTGGGACCTTTTTGGCTCAGGGGTGGCTAACCCACAGAAAAATCAGTCAGGGGCTGCACTGACCCACAGGGGCAGAGGTTCCCCACCCCTGCCTTAGGAGGAGGCGACTGCTTTTATTCTCCCAGCTGGCCAGCTCCCCCAACGCCGCACTCCGGTTTAGCAGCTCCTGGCTGCAGAGCTCCCAGGAAGTGTCGTCTCCCGGTGATTTCTCCTCTCAACGCTGGCAGGGTGGCCGTGCGGCCAGGCCTAGGCTCGGGGCATCAGATCCAAGCTCCCGGACGCTCCCTGGTGCACCAGCCCCCGGCTCATGGGTTTGTCCTTGAATCTGCTGCTCATGAGCTGGACTTTGACAGGTGCAACTCACTGATGTGAGAGCCCTCCCGGCCGTGCCCCCCTTCCCCTGGGGTCTGCCCCGCTCACGCTGGGGGTTCTTAAATAGAGGGCTA